CCAAAGCACAAAAAATCGAAGTCATTTTGTTTGTAAAAAATAATAATTTTTACGTCAAGTTTTTAAAAAAAATATGTTGCAAAGTGGTGTTTTTTTTAAGAAGTTCAAATTAATTCAAAATTATTCAAAATGTGGAGCATTCAACAACTTGCACTTATAACAAAAACAAATTCTATTTTTTTTCTTTACTTAAATCAACAACAGATGTCAACAAGAAATATACTTTAAAAAGTATTGTACCCAATTTAAATCAATGACAAGTGTATTCAAGAAGCGCAAGTTTTACAGTTTAAAAAAAAATCCAAAGATTTAACTTAAATTTTTTTGGGGTCAACGTTTAACCCAGTATTTCCTTAAATGAGACCCACTATTACAAATTAGTCATGTCAATCCTAAATAGAAATTATAAAAACAATACTACTGTTGAGTAACTACAAAAATTTAAGTAAACATGGCTAGGTAAGGGGAACCTAAATTACCACTAGCATCTCTTCTGTTTTCTGGTTAAGTGTAGAATGATGCATAACTAAATTTAGGTATGCGACAAAATGGATCCCTGCATTTTGAATTTATAGAAAGTTTTATGGGAAGGCTTTGGTGGGCATCCTCGATTTCTGATCCCCCACCACGGTAATCAAAGTCACAGTGGCAGGCACCTTTTAATCTACAATAATGCATGGAACATTTATATTTTCAAGAGCTATATTTGAATTAAATCTATACAATGTCTTTATGTGTTAGGCAACTCTGTTTTTTTTTATCATCTGAGAATTATGTGCTTTAAGGATAAATAAATAATTATGTGCATCATTTATTTGATAATTATTTTCTTTATTACAAGGATTAATCAAATGTGGCCTACAAAGAAATGGCCCGTGAATTAATTTGAGTTGGCCAACCTGGTTTAGTGTAATATGGAAAAGAATAAAATACCTCATTGCTGGCTCTTTCTACAACTTCATTCAGTCGTGTTTCATTTTGGGTTCCTTTATTTGAGCGTTCATAAAGCTGGTAGTAAATTCTTCCACGGTTGTTGTAGTTGTAATCTGTCCAAAATGGAGCAAGTATGCTTTGGACATCATAGTAATAATAATACCAGTAAAGACTTGGCCACCATAGCTCATAGCCTGATCCGAATGTAATGGCTCCGTTGGCCTGAACCTGAGGACACATTATGCAATTCATACAAAAACACAAAATATTGGATAATTTACCAGCACTCAGGCAGGAGACCTTCTTATTTATTATTATTATTAAAAATGAAACCTTTTGAAGTGTTTGTTTCAAAGAGTATGAAAAGAATTTCAATCAAAAATTGTTGATACTCAATAATGAACAAGTGGTATATAAAATATAATATAACTTATGTACTAAAACCATAATAAAAAAAGTCTGCCTGAGATTTCACCCTTAAGTATTTTTGTGTGGATAATATTTTGGTTTGGATTATATATAAACAAAACAAAAACAAAAAACCTAAAGCTATCTAACCTTTCTAACAAACTTGTATTATAAAAAATATTTTGGGACAGACAGTAATTTCTATTGGACAAACAAATAGAGTAGCTTTCTGATTTTAAAAAAGTGCACTCATAGGGATGGCTGATTGTCTATTGCAAGTCTGACCATACCCATAGTTAAGTAGTAACAAAAACTAGTTAAGTAGTAACAAAAACTAGTTAAGTAGTAACAAAAACTAGTTAAATATTTTTTTACTACCAGTTTAAATTATATGGAAAAACAGAAAATTTAGCTATTTCCCAGGCTGGCCATTCAGAATATTCCCATGGAATTACCATCTAAAAAAATTAAAATCTAATTTTGTATACCGAACAATAGTTTTAAAACGTACATATGCAATTCTGTGTCTTGTAGATCCAAAGGGTGCACCACCAGCAAAGCGTATTGATTCACTTCTTATGGTGTAATACCACCAGTAGTTGTAACTCTGCACTAGTTCAGAATCACCAACATTGCTACCGTAAGGGTAGAGGGCTAGACAATATAAAACAGAATTATATTCATTTAAAAATTTATTTTTTTTTAATTTTTCACCCATGTTTTTTTGTTGTTTTTTTCCCGCCACTCGAATCTAGTATTCACTTTGCAGGCAATTACCTGAGTTAATAGAATGATAAAATTTAAAAGCATATTATTATTTTTTTGCTAGTATGCTGTGGTCATTTGACAAATGGGACTGAAATTATTTGCTACAAGTACCTCCATTCAGGCCTGCTCTTGTTTTCATTTTCAGAGCATGACATGCATGAAAAGGAGAGCAAATTTAAATGTATCTTTAGAGACATCCACACCTTTAAGATTTCAGGTAAAATTCAGGGTTAAATGACAAATATGAAATGAAAAGCTGAAAAAGCTCAAATTTTATTTGAAGTTGTGCTTTTCTAACTATTCCCCCCCCCCCCCTCGCAATGTTCCCTTTAAGCTGTGCGGCTGTGCAGTAATCTCACAAACGCCGCGCAGCAGTTTTGAGTACTGCGCAGCTAATTTCCAATTAAGTGTGTGTTTGTGTCTGTAGGCTGTAAAATTTTGCGCATAAAAAAATTGCACACAACTTTATGATTTTGCACACGAACCAACAAACCTTAGAGGGAACATTGCCCCCCCACACCATATTAAATCTGAATTCTTGAACAAAAAACGATGTGGGAGACATTATTTTTTTTACACAGTAAAATTACTTTTAATTCATTCCTTAAAATTCATGAATCTTGTGAAAAAATCCCTCTAACACCATTTTATTTGTTTGTTTAAGAATTCAGTTAAATAAAGGGGGATAAGTTATGGTTATATACTTATCTCCACTCATTAAATGTGAATTTATAAACAAAAGAAAATGTGGGAAGGATTTTTGTTCACAATAAGGAATAAATAAAAACATAAACCGAATTAATTTTTTTTAGATAAACCTTTTTTTTAAAAATGTATCTTCGTGAAATCTTAATCTCAATTAACTTTACTATAAGTGATAAAATATTCTAATATAAAATTTATTTTAAACAAACCTCTTTGCACCTTGGATGGATCTGAAAACAGATAAAAATTAAATTTCTGAGGCGCTAATAATAATTTACATTTAAACATTTTTTTTTTTTAATTTCCTAAAAAGGGGGGGGGGGGTTTGTGTAGCTTTCAACTGTTTTAATTTTTAAATTATCATCTAAATAAATCATTTCATTAGTCATGAAGAAGAGAGTATTTATTCTACTACATTTAAACATTTTTTTTTTTTAATTTCCTAAAAAGGGGGGGGGGTTTGTGTAGCTTTCAACTGTTTTAATTTTTAAATTATCATCTAAATAAATCATTTCATGAGTCATGAAGAAGAGAGTATTTATTCTACTCAGGCAGACCACAATTCTATTGGGAATATGCTGACATATTTTTCATACGGCATCTCTTTCCACCAAGGACCTACATTAAAAGATTTTCAAAATATTTTGATTTATATTTGTGTAGCTTTCAACTGTTTTAATTTTTAAATTATCATTTAAATAAATCATTCCATGAGTCCTGAAGAAGAGAGCATTTATTCTACCCTGGCAGAACACAATTCTAGTGGGACTATGCTGACATATTTTTCATGCAGGTTCTCTTTCCACCAAGGACCTACATAGAAAGATTTTCATAATATTTTGATTTATTTTGTCATATTAATCTTAACATCCCTTATTTTTGAACATCCATATTTATTCCTTCCACAAACGGAAAAGGATTTTTATAGATTGTGAATAGAATGGAAGTATCTTCATATACCGTATATACTCGCATTTAAGCCGAATTTAGAACTAGAAAATGCAATAATGAAATCAGGGGGTCAGCTTAAATGCGCATCAAACAAAATGGACACAAGGACAGACACTAATGCCAATTTTCCAGCCACGCATTTTCATTGCTATCTGACTCTTTATTTAGTTGTGTGTACAGAGTACTAATATATATATATACAGAGGTGATAATTATACTGAGTATGAAAGAGCAGCACACGTTTTTGTGTCATTCCAAAAGGTAAACAAACTGGTATGGAACATAAAAGTAAGCATTTTACATCTTTACAGTAACAAAGTTCTATGAACCAAAAATATGGAGTAAATTAGAGAATTGTATCGGGCTTATATGCAGGTTTTTGCAAAAACTGGCCATTTTAAAGCAGTTTTAGGGGGTCAGCTTATATGCGATGTAGGTTTATATGCGAGTATTATTCGGTAATGAATATATGGGAAAACCTGAAAAAAAGGATGCAACAAAACAACTAGAAACCCATTTCAGCAGACACAGACAATACAAACAAAGAGCAAAAGAAATATAAAACTTAAAAACAAACTTTTAGCTGAAATCTTGTATCCAAAAGACATGTAGTCTACATTTTCCCAGGCCTCGTTACACATATTTCCTTCAACCTAACGTGATTGCAGTCTCCCCCCTTTATAATCCTTTATAATTATATAACCATGGCATTTACTATTTTTTAAAATTTAATGACATACCTTCTGTTGAAACACCTGTTGATAAATCAATGAAAGATAAAAATATTCTTAAAACTATTAGTATGACGTTCTCCAAATGAAATCATTAATTGTAAGTTTTTTGTAGTTTTTAATTATAAAAATTAGCAATTAGAATTTTCTTCAGAATCAACAGTTATCATGAAGTAAATATAAAAATATATAAGACAATATGTAAAAAATATATTTACCTTTTTGTGTTCTTAATTAAACTATTATAGGAAGTTTTTCTTCAATAACAGCTGTAATTTCTTTTCATTTGTAGATATATTTATGAGGCCCAGTAAGAAATTTATACTAACTAGAAGGTAATTATTAAATTTAAGTCACACCTAAATCACTGAAAGCATTAGGAAAATAAATGGAATCTAATCATACAAATGATCCCTTGTGACACATGAAACTGATTATCATGTAATTGATATTTGTATCCGTACCTTCTTTATCTATAAAGATGTGAAATGTGCATGAACTTACATTGATAGTACAGAGCTGTGTCATTGCATGTGTTTTCCAATCCACACAAATCAAATGTGACGGATTGCTGTAGATTTTTTAGGAATGCACACCACTTGAGAGCTAATATGGGATTAAAAAAAAAAAGTTTTTCAAACCAAATGCCTTTATTTATGGTTTTTGTTTGATTTTTAAGTGTGTCCTTTTTTTATCATTCCCAAACGAGAAAATTTACGACAATGTTTAGTTTGAAAGGTCTTAGGATAACTCAATTTAAAAAAATTCATTTTATATGAAGTTATATACATTCTTTATGTATTGTTGTTTCTACATTAAGACCGTAGCAATAGGCCTACATATGATTAAACAATTTGCCTAATTGTAATAAAGGATGCATGGTAAACATTAATTTAAGTTTTTTTTCTTTTTAATCTTAGAACTATAGCTTTTAGCTATTTTAAGGGATGAAAAATATTATCAAGTCCAATAAACACAATATTTGGTTTGTATTGAATATTTAAACATTAATTTTGAGTGCAATATACAAGAAAACCTACCAGATTTCCTACCCAGCCTGTCAGCTGTTGTCTTGTAAATATAAACAGGGCCAGTAAATGCATAATCTGAATCCCCGAACTTGCCAAAAACCTTGACATGTGACGTAAAGACTGCTTGTGCCACGGCATTAACGATATCATCGTTGACTGCCCACTTGAAGACCAGGCTGGCATTAAATGTTGTGTAGCCATCCAGAGTTTTGTTATAATTTCTAAAAGTAAAGAAATAAAGCATAAGACGCAGTGGTTAGTCATAGATTGTGCTTTATAGATTCTATGCAGACTGACCAATAGATGAACAAGAAGGTGGATTTATTTAAATTTATTAATTCCCATTTCAGCCCAGGAAGATAAATTTTGTTGCTGCCTTGGGTCCAAAAAAAATTCCATCAATGTTCTACAATACTATAACAGACTAAATAGTATGACCTAATGGTTTTTAATTTTTTTTAACTTACTCAATTTGCGAATAGAGAAACGATGAAATAACTTGGCCAATTTCTTTGATTGACTGCAACATAAAAATTAGTAATACATTAAGTCCAAATTGTTTCAAAGTTTTTGTTTAAATTTCTGATATTTCATTAAGAATAATACATATTTTATTAAAGTTAATTATAAAGGTTTAGGGCAGTTTTTTGTCTTCCTGTTACTAACATTACTCCTCTATTTTTAGGAGAATCTAACATAAAAATTGATTTAAATTAATCAGTTAAAAAGCAATCAAAGCAATCAAACAGAATAACAGCTAATGAACTTACATTAGTTCTGACTACTTCTGACAAGGTCTGTAAAGTGGTGAAGGTAGAGTCCAGCTCAGCCGTTAAATACACTGTACGATTTTCTCTACCTGAGGAAGAATAAGATTACTTTAATAAAATAAAAAACAATGAATAAGCATATAGCACCACATGAATCAACACCATCCCCCACCCCTCATAAAAAAAATTAACTTTCATCCCAAGAATTAATAATAATAATAATAATAATAAAGTTCATTTCAAAAACACGCTTCATCCCCAAAGGCTCAAAGCGAGGTACAAAGTCAACAAAAAAAATCTATAATTTACCACATTTAAAACAAACACAACACTACAAAAACTAATTACAAGCATACAATGGCAAAGTCTTTCTAGCCATTTTAACCATAAGCAACACAGCCATTATGCATTAACTGGAAAATAAGATAGACAATCATCCCAGAAGGTGTTTGCGAAATATCAAAGACAGAAGTATTTTTTGGTTAAAGTTAGTAACATAAAGACTTAATTTGCTTTAAAAAAAACAGCTGTATAATCGATCACTGTTATTAATAGTGTTATTTTTGGTCCAAGACAACAGTTAAAAATTATTTACCCACGACTACTGTGGAATTACTGCTCACAGGTGGTAGAACTGCAACCAAGTTGTACTGATGATGAAAACAGAAAAAATAATAAATGTGGCATGATAGCAAGTATTGAAAGAATTTGAGAACGACTGAGGGAGTTGCCATAAATGAGAGAGTGAGTTCCAGAAGTCTGGCACTTGGTCAGTGTCTTTCTTAGTCATAGATTATGCTTTATAGGTTCTACACCACGGTTTAACAACCACGGCCTGGTAAAAATAAATTTCTTCATTTGATTTACGCTTTTTTTCATTCTTGTCATAGCCAATATTTTTACAATGAATGAATTATAATTTAATTTAAAAAACAGAGATTTTCTTTGAGTTTTTGTTTGTGTTTTTTTTTTTTGTGCTTCTATTTTTTGTCAATTGAAGATGTGTTTTCCTCTGATATTTATGTGCAATAAGAATACATAAATAATTCTGCACATTGTTAATTAGGGTTTATTTTATTTATTATTGGACACTAATTATTATTAGCGTTGACTGGCAGTCAAATGGCCTGGGATGCCCTTTGAGCTGGCTACCCCTGATCTAGAATATCAAGAGGTGTAGTGGGATTAGGCAGGAGTTCTGTGAACTGGTAAAGTGGACTTTTAAAAACTGTGGTGTAAGTAGGCCTATATTGGGTTCTTGCATGATATTGGAGAAGGTGATAGGGGTATGATGTTTTATGGATGAAGTAAGGAAGTTTTCTATTTAAACTAAACCCTAGAATAAGATGCAAATAAGAGATATTAATGATATGTTTGTTTTTGTTTGTTTTAAATATTTGTGAAACAAACATGCAAAGTCATAAAATACTTGAAAGCATAAAAAGTAACAACTTCAAAGCCATTAATTTGTTATTATGATAATGAGAGTAAGAAGTAACAACAAACCTGTGAACCTAGATTAGAGTTGACTTGTGATAAATTTGAGAATGACCCTAACAGCAACTCTATGGCCTTTTGTTTTTCCCCTGTGCTGATCTTCATATACTCTCTATTAGAAAGCAATTTGAAAACATAACCCAGTAGTTAATTCTAAATAATTATTTAATGATTTGAAAATTGCATCAATTTACTTAACAATATAAAGAATAGGCTTTATTATAATATCAATTATTTACTAGAATGCAGCAATGAAAATATAAGTGTCATGGAAATAGGCCACTTTTGAATTGACACAAAGTTTTGATTACATAAATGATACTCTTTTTAAAAATCTTGTTAACTTAATTTAATTTTTGCAAATATTAAAAAAATCAATTTATGTAGTGAAGATATAATAAATTAATGAAAATACTGGTTTGTCAATTATATGTTGTTTTTTTTAAATTATAACTGCAATCATTTGCACTTTAATTTGCAGTAGACTGTAGGTAGACTCTGACAACTTACGGGACATTGTAGACATTGACAGTGGTCCTGGTGATGAAATCTGTACAATTTGCTGCAATACTACAACTGTTGCCCAGTTTGCACTGATCAGCTTTATCCACAGAGAAGACAATGTTGTCACAATACGGCAGATTTTGACAGAATTCACTGAAATAATATTATAATAATAGGATAACTAATAATTTCATCGTCTATTGAAGATTTGTATTGAGTAACTCATGAAGATGCAAGCCTAGGAGCATAAATGTTCCCACTTATTAATCTTATTATAAGTTATTGTCATCTTACACTTGCACTGCCATTTCAATCTCTTAAAATTTATTTCTTTTCTCCAAACACTGAGTAATAAGTAATCTATTCAATTTATTATTAATTATACCCCATTGTGGCTAATGGGAAAAGATAGTACCCTGGCCCTGGTTCCGATAGGGTCAAAACCCAGGTTAGGGATTAGTGATTAGTTTAGGGTTCAGGTTAGGTTTAGGGATAGATTTAGGGTTGAGGTTAAGTTGAGGGATACATTGCCAACATAAGTTCGCGAGTCGCGGCAACCAATGTTAAAAAAAAAACTTTTACATTTACTTTTTACCCTTTACTTTACTCTTTACTGAATTACTGTCTCAGTCTCACCTGTTGGGATTTGAACTGTTTATGTTGCTTGCAAAAAGCTGTGCTATTTTAGTAGATATTGTGTCAGACACTTGACAAGCGCTAGATTTATAATCAAGAATTACTTGCAGATCAACGTAATTCATCCCAGACTTGGCTGCAAAAAAATACGTAGCAAGGTGATTTTTTAATTACCCATCATATAAAACATTAAGACTTATATATATATTAGAGAGAGAGAGAGACAGACAGATAGAGCGTGGGAACATAAAGTAGGTCCCTGTATAGTATACAGCTAATAAGTTTCTGCATTTTCAATGGATGAATTTCAACAATAATCAGTTTCAGTTCTTTGAAGCATCATGCATGTGCCATGATGGCTGTTACTCTTCATTTCTATCGGTAGTATGCCTATTGATTAAATTCAATTACTTTGTACTTTTCGGCATCCAATGTATGAAACAAATGGCACGTAGTTTACAAAACAATAAATTAAATTATTCGATTGTTTGAAGTCTTCTTCAAAGTACTACCGTATGCAGAGGCGTAACGAGGGTGTTTGGCGCCCAGGGACAAGATCCATTTTAAAGCGCTCCCTTTTCTTTTTTTCAACTCTCTAACCCATTATTTTTACCAATAATATAATATCAAAGCACATTTTGGCGCCCCTAACTAGCTGGCGCCCGGGGACATCTGTCTCCCCCTGCCCCCCTCGCTACGCCTCTGACCGTATGAACCCGTATTGTGTAATTTAAAGTCTGAAAGTCTTTATGGCTGCATGGAGGGGCAGCCGATAATGTGCAAATTGTAAATGTAGGGGCCTACATTCTTTACTCTTTTATAACTGTCATTTTTCTTATTTAAGTTTAAGGACATAAGGTGACCATTTATCAAAACAGGGATATTCTCAAATTTAAAACCAGGAATTTTAAAATCGTCTAAAGCAGGCCTACACAGGGGCCCGCCAGCAACCACTTTCTGGCCCGCGAGTGGCGCGAGATAACGAAAACTCGTTATTTATTTTCTTAATAGCTTTCCCCCTGACCTATATTTTTTTGGCCAGCACAAGTCCTGTCCTATTTTGGCCCGCACAAGTTTTTCATAATGCGTTACGGCCAACCTTACATTTCGAGTTGTGCAGGTCTGGTCTAAAAATAAAACAATTATTTGTTATTACACCGAGAGCTCTCCTGTCACTGTCAATGAGCCGTTCGTGTGGAGAAAAAAAACAACCCCTTCTGGCGATCAATTAACGGTGTTGCCAATTTGGATTCATAATATTTCTTTAAGTTGTGTCATTTATTTATTGATGAGCTCGATCTCTTGATTAATTTGTTAAAATAATATTATTTTAGAAAATGGTAGTCAAACTGCGCGGGCTACTGGTTTCGGCCTGTGACAACTGTCGAAAACCCAGAAGCCAGTAAGCCCGCCGTTTAAAAAAAAAAAAAAAGTAAGAATGGTCTCCTTATTATTACTTACAACACTGACAACACAACACAATATTTCCTCAGTGTTCTTATTTTATAATTTACCTTATGAAAGATTACTTCTCAATAAAGGCTATCGTGCGAGGGAAAAAAAGGGGGTGGGGTGGGGTGGGGGAGCAGCTTTTCATCGGCACAGCCCTGCGAGCAATAGGGTGTTCGACCAATAGGGTGTTCGACCAGTAGGGTGTTCCGACCAGTAGGGTGTTCCGACCAATAGGGTGTTCGACCAATAGGGTGTTCAACCAATAGGGTGTTCAACCAATAGGGTGTTTGACCAATAGGGTGTTCGACCAATAGGGTGTTCGACCATCAGGGTGTTCGACCATCAGGGTGTTCGACCAACAGGGTGTTCGACCAACAGGGTGTTCGACAAACAAGGTGTTCGACCAACAGAATGTTTGACCAACAGGGTGTTCGACCAACAGGGTGTTCGACCAATAGGGTGTTCGACCAATAGGGTGTTCGACCAATAGGGTGTTCGTGATGTTTCAAGCGTCACATAAAATCGATTGCTTGAATTTTATTGTGATACAACGTGCATCGACGAAGCTCGGAAAACTTTGTTCAGTTCTTACCGCCATCAGAAGACATGCACGACGTCTTTGTCGTCGTCTTGTAAGGACAGTAAATACAGTAGTTCAGACTGCCGTTGTTGTACTCGTCGGAGCTGCAGTCTTGACAGCTGCTGGTTCTCAAGCTGTAACCTCGCCCAGCTGCGCATTTGGCTGCAGATATAGAAATGACATTAACAAAGTGATTTTGGGACACGTGCTGATCTGATTGCGTCGTGGTTGTTGTTGGTGGTGTGGTGGCAGAGGAGTAGCGAGGGTGTTTGGCGCCCGGGGACAAGATTCGCGCCCGGGGACAAGATCCACTTTAAAGCGCCCCCTTTTATTTTTTTAAACTCTCAAATCCATTGTTTTTACCAATAATATAATATCAAAGCACATTTTGGCGCCCCTAACTAGCTTGCGCCCGGGGAGATCTGTCCTCCCCTGCCCCCCTCGCTACGCCTCTGTGTGGTGGTTATTACATAATTTAGTACTAGACTACTTTTTCTAAGACAAGGAAAGCTAATACGTCTGCTAGCCTTCGTGTCTAGATTTCAGTGGGAGGTTATAAACAAAACAACATGACCTCTGATAGCTGAGTAGGGCCTACTGTAAACACGGGTTTCCCCGGAATGATAACACAAGGGATGTAACTGTGACAATGCACTATAATGATTATATAACGGTTGTGATGGTGATGGGGTTTTACGGCACCATAAGCCAGTTGACGAGTACGTAGTCGCCGCTAACCTGCCCGCTCAATGACAGACGAAACAATATATTATTAGCTTTACAAACTGGTCACACCAAATGGGGACACAAAATTAACACACACAATGATTGCACTAGATGGTCACACAAAAATGAACACACTAGATGGTCACACAAAGTGATCACAGTAGAAGGTCACACAAAGTGATCACAGTAGAAGGTCACACCAAATGATCACACTAGATGGTCACACAAAATGATCACGCTAGGTGGTCACACAAAATGATCACGCTAGATGGTCACACAAAATGATCACACTAGATGGTCAAACAAAATGATCACGCTAGATGGTCACACAAAATGATCACACTAGATGGTCACACAAAGTGATCACACTAGATGGTCACACAAAATGATCACACTAGAAGGTCACACAAAGTGATCACAGTAGAAGGTCACACCAAATGATCACACTAGATGGTCACACAAAGTGATCACACTAGATAGTCACACAAAATGATCACACTAGATAGTCACACAAAATGATCACGCTAAATGGTCGCACAAAATTATCACACTAGATGGTCAAACAAAATGATCACACTAGATGGTCACACAAAATGATCACACTAGATGGTCACACAAAGTGATCACGCTAGATGGTCAAACAAAATGATCACGCTAGATGGTCACACAAAATGATCACGCTAGATGGTCAAACAAAATGATCACGCTAGATGGTCACACAAAATGATCACGCTAGATGGTCAAACAAAATGATCACGCTAGATGGTCACACAAAATGATCACACTAGATGGTCACACAAAGTGATCACACTAGATGGTCACACAAAATGATCACACTAGAAGGTCACACAAAGTGATCACAGTAGAAGGTCACACCAAATGATCACACTAGATGGTCACACAAAGTGATCACACTAGATAGTCACACAAAATGATCACACTAGATAGTCACACAAAATGATCACGCTAAATGGTCGCACAAAATTATCACACTAGATGGTCAAACAAAATGATCACACTAGATGGTCACACAAAATGATCACACTAGATGGTCACACAAAGTGATCACGCTAGATGGTCAAACAAAATGATCACGCTAGATGGTCACACAAAATGATCACGCTAGATGGTCAAACAAAATGATCACGCTAGATGGTCACACAAAATGATCACGCTAGATGGTCAAACAAAATGATCACGCTAGATGGTCACACAAAATGATCACACTAAATGGTCACACAAAATGATCACACTAGATGGTCACACAAAATGATCACGCTAGATGGTCACACAAAATGATCACGCTAGATGGTCACACAAAATGATCACACTAGATGGTCAAACAAAATGATCACGCTAGATGGTCACACAAAATGATCACGCTAGATGGTCAAACAAAATGATCACACTAGATGGTCAAACAAAATGATCACGCTAGATGGTCACACACAATGATCACACTAGATGGTCACACAAAGTGATCACACTAGATAGTCACACAAAATGATCACACTAGATGGTCACACAAAATGATCACACTAGATGGTCACACAAAAATGATCACATTAGATAGTCAAACCAAAGGATTGAACTAGATGATCACAGCCAATGATCAAACAAAAGGGTCACTTTAAGTGGTCACCCAAAATGGTCATACCATTGTTGCAGAACGAGGACAACTGCGGCACACTACAATAATGTTAAGTGTGACACTGTGTTGAATCGATGCTTTGATTTGAGGAATACGGCAGTGCAACCTATACGGTGTGTGACTTATGCGATCTATTTAATAGAAGAGCTCAACCTAATTTGGGGCTTTGGTTTCGATAGCATCTGACGAGCTTAAAACTAAAACTCAGCACGGTGTACCGTCTCCGAAGCTATTCAACTACATCACTGTGTATGTATCGTACGTGCACTGGCGTGAAGCTAGGGGAGCGCAGAGAGCTATCCACCTTGGATGGCAACTCCCCGGCCCCCCCTCTTCATAGAAAAGCAGAAGTTTTTGGCCAACTGTAGAGTATTTTTTCATGGAAAGGTGTGGCAGAACTCTTGGCCCACCCCAGACGGCACACTAGACCTATCTACGCCAACGCTGATGTGTTAGTGTCATGTACGTAAATGAAATGTTTACTGTGTTAGCAATGTGGCCATGTACGTTGAATAATAACATGCTGTAAATATAATTTCAAGATTGGCCTAAAATCAGTGGCGTAGCTAGGGTAGGGGAGTGTCCAAATTCGAAAGTCCCCCCGGACCCGTACTTGAGGGGGGGCCCCCAAAGGAGTGTCCGAAATTTTTTTTTACATTGCATAATGTCAAACGTCAAATTCAGGGGCCCCTAAAAAGGTCAAGCCCCCCCCCCCCAAACTCCCAAATCCCTATCTACGCCACTGCCTAAAATTTGCCTATAGGGAACTAAATTCATATGTGAAATGCGAAAGAATGTTTTCAGTCAATAATATTTTATTTAGAGCGGGGATCGGCAACCTGTGCCAGTGGCGTGCCCAATGTGGGACGTAGTGCCAACCCTACACCCCAAAAAAAGAAAAAAAAAAAATTTTATTTAAAAATTATAATGATATTGTAATAATAAATGACTTGCAAAAATGCATCTTGTCAGGTATACATTTAGAGTTTTATGGTGCGCCGAATGAAGTAGAACTCATCCAACTCCCCGCCGCTCCCACCCCTTCTTTTTTCAAAATATTACCAACAATCTGCTGATTACCCTCTAAAGTAATATTATTACATGTAATCAATGTTCCCTCCGAGGTTCGTGTGCAAAATCGTACCAATGTGTGCAAAGTTTTACGGCATCAATTTTTTGGGGGGTGCACAATTTTACAGCCCACAAACACACACTTACATGGAAATTTGCTGCGCAGGTACTGTGAGATAGCTGCGCGGCCGCGGCGCAGCTTAAAGGGAACATTGCATGTTACATCTATCAATTTCTAATTAGCCAAGTCAAATTGATAAAAAAAAAAATATTTCCAACATACTTGAGGCTGTCGTGGTCGCTACAGTTGTCAAAGTTGTTTCTGATTTTGGCGCTGTTAGAGAAAGCATACGTAAAAAATATATCATATATATCAAAACTATATATATTTATATATAGGTGGCTATATGCATACATGTTGCTTTTGAGTTGTTGTTGTTTTTTTGTTACCCGCCCCCACTTTTTTGTTGTCGAGATCTTAATTTTTGTGTGTACTCAACCTTTAGAATCGCATATTAAAATGACATACTAAGACAAAGGGTACGAGGTAAGAAGCTAGAGGTTTAAAACAGTGTATAAATTACAAAATAACACTTCAAAGAAGCAAAGGCACATTTAAACAAGCAAAGACACATTCAAGCAAGCAAAGACCCATTCAAAAAAGCAAAATCCATTCAAGAAATGGAAAGACACATTCGAGCAAGCAAAGACCCATTCAAGCAAGCAAAGACACAATCAAACAAGCAAAGACTTTCGCAAACAAGCAAATAACCATTCAAGCAAGCCAAGACCCGTTCGAGCAAGCAAAGACCCATTCAGTCAAGCAAAGGCACATTCGTACAGGTAGCCTATATTTAAAGAACAATACAAGAGTCTCAGTTTATCGGCCGTAAACTATAGTTGACTACTGTCCCATTTTAAAATTTAAGAAAAATTACTTGTGCTGGTGAGTGTAGCTGTCGTGCTGTTGAATGATGCTGTTGTAGAGTTGGATCTGAGGAAATATGAAGAGAGAGAGAGAAGTATTTTATCGTTTGGCGCAAAAGCCTCTCAGCACGTGTCTTAGTGTCTCAACTGTCTTGGCATTTATAAACATTCTCTTTTAGCAGAGAAATAAATAAAAAGGTTCACTAAACGGCTCAAAAACCATTGATTGTGTTACATGAGGTTAACATAGGGAATGTGTGCGTGTTCTAAGGTAAAATTAAGGCAAGACTCACTGGCACTTCGGCACACCACTGGATGTGATGACACACTTCTCATTGTCTTGGCAAGGTGTGACAAGTGTCAGTAGAGCGCAAAGGTCAGAATCATCAGACACTGAAGATAATTTAAAATGTTGTCACAGGATGTAAGGTGAAGGGCAACATTGATTGATCTCTCCTAAAGGGCAACACGTATTGATCCCTCCTAAAGGTCAACACTGATTGATCCCTCCTAAAGGGCAACACGTATTGATCCCTCCTAAAGGTCAACACTGATTGATCCCTCCTAAAGGGCAACAATGATTCATCCCTCCTAAAGGGCAACACTGATTGATCCCTCCTAAAGGGCAACAGTGATTGATCCCTCCTAAAGGGCAACAGTGATTGATCCCTCCTAAAGGGCAACACTGATTGATCCCTCCTAAAGGGCAACATGATCCCTCCTAAAGGGCAACAGTGATTGATCCCTCCTAAAGGGCAACACTGATTGATCCCTCCTAAAGGGCAACACTGATTGATCCCTCCTAAAGGGCAACACTGATTGATCCCTCCTAAAGGGCAGCACTGATTCATCCCTCCTAAAGGGCAACACTGATTCATCCCTCCTAAAGGGCAACAATGATTCATCCCTCCTAAAGGTCAACACGTATTGATCCCTCCTAAAGGTCAACACTGATTGATCCCTCCTAAAGGGCAACACTGATTCATCCCTCCTAAAGGTCAACACTGATTGATCCCTCCTAAAGGTCAACACTGATTGATCCCTCCTAAAGGTCAACACTGATTGATCCCTCCTAAAGGTCAACACTGATTCATCCCTCCTAAAGGTCAACACTGATTGATCCCTCCTAAAGGTCAACACTGATTCATCCCTCCTAAAGGTCAACACTGATTGATCTCTCCTAAAGGTCAACACTGATTGATCCCTCCTAAAGGTCAACACTGATTGGTCCCTCCTAAAGGGCAACACTGATTGGTCCCTCCTAAAGGGCAACACTGATTGGTCCCTCCTAAAGGTCAACACTGATTGGTCCCTCCTAAAGGGCAACACTGATTGGTCCCTCCTAAAGGGCAACACTGATTCATCCCTCCTAATGTTCCCATAGATCTTGTGCTATGGCAAGGTCCTTTCGACAGCTTGATTGCAATTTTCCCCCACCCTTTCCTCAATACTATCTGGTGTATAAGACTTGGCTGTGGATAACATTTACATTCAATGGTTGTTAGAAATATCTAAGGGAAAGGTTGATTTTTTTTTAATAGTGCAGTTGGGACAGTCGGTTTGACAGTGAAACTCTGCTTTTTAAAATCTACCACACATTGGCATTAACATCAACGTTTGGGTGATTGAATGAAGACAACCATCTCATTCAGAGTTGTGATTGAATGAAGACAATCATCTCATTCAGAGTGGTGATTGAATGAAGACAATCATCTCATTCAGAGTGGTGATTGAATGAAGACAATCATCTCATTCAGAGTGCCAGGCGTGCAATGTCTAGGGTGCATTCAACAGACTTATCAGCACTCTGGTGGGCCAAGCATGCAAGGTTAAAGGATAAGTGAAAATGGCTGTTTGTACATTTTTCAATTTATTTTTACTCCATTTCCAACAATGGCCTTGATATTTAAAAACAAAATTAAATTAAAATATTTCTCACACCTTTTCAACATGTTTTCTAATCTAGCCTGCAATGTATAATTTAAGTGGGACTAAAATGTTGAGCCATCAGCATTGGGGGCCTTAACTTGGCCCTATCAGAATTCTGGCCCCTTAAACATATACACTAGAAGTCTTAAGAGTGTAAATATGACATGAGTAAGTAAAACTTAGTGAAATGGTAAAGTTAATAAACAGTGGAACAAGATATGCTCAATGAAATAGTAAAATTAATAAATAGTGGAACAAGATATGCTCAATGAAATGGTAACAACAGGATTCCACTCCATATTTGAAACCTACCCACTACACTGTTGTAAGTGAGGCTGGTCACGTTGTACGTATCATTGCCAATGGTGAGGCTTGTCTTAATAGCAACGACAGCGACCACCATGCTACTGTCAGCATCAGGATTTATTTCAGTGTCCACTATGACACGGAAGTCCACTATAAGACTGCCCAATCTGAAGACAAATGTCAATGATGAAATTAGGAGCATTCTACCGGTAAAAATGTTGACAACTTTTTTTGTTAACCAATAAGACTGACTTTTTTTATTATTACATTGATAGGGTTGATAAGAAAAAAGCCAGCGATGAAATAATATGGAATATGTAATCAAATACGTGGTAAGCAATCAAATGTGTGAGTTACAAACCTCATATCTTCCACCTCCACTTTATCCAAGCCTGTCACATTTTTGCTAAATTCAGTGAAAAGCTTAAGATGGATAGGAAAATAGAAATGGTTGCAAATTAGTTACCATTAATTTTTTTTTCCTTTTAAAAAACTATTAATTTGTCTTAGTGCTTACAGTCGGCGTCATCCTCTAAGGAGTTATGTTACGGATCCTTGGCTTGCCATCGGGGTCAAGTCCTGGGGAAATGGTGTGTGAACTCCCCCTCCACTTTCCCCGAAATAAATATTACCGTGGACCCTCAATCTTCGTCCGTGTCAGTATTCGTCTTTTTTTATACATTCATCCTGGTTTTTTTGTAGAAATTTTTGTTTAACATTCGCCCAACAATTCGATATTATTCCAACTCGCCTCCTGAGTTAATCAGTGTCGGGCGGTGATTCAAAGAACTATTTTAATTCATTTTATTATTAACAGGTTTTTGCAGATTATTTATTAAAGAAATTATGTAACAATGGTATTCATTTAACCATGGTGTTTGTTTGTGTGACCATGGTGTTTGTTTGTGTGACCATGGTGTTTGTGTGACCTTGGTGTTTGTGTGACCTTGGTCTTTGTGTGACCTTTGTGTTTGTGTGACCATGGTGTTTGTGTGACCATGGTGTTTTTGTGACCTTGGTGTTTGTGTGACCTTGGTGTTTGTGTGACCTTATTGTTTGTGTGACCGTGGTGTTTGTGTGACCTTTGTATTTGTGTGACCTTGGTGTTTGTGTGACCATGGTGCTTGTGTGACCTTGTTGTTTGTGTGACCTTTGTGTTTGTGTGACCTTGGTGTTTGTGTGACCATGGCGCTTGTGTGACCTTGATTTTCTGGAACAAGTTTTTTGATTGTTTGTTCTGGCATTTAATTGTGAATACATATATATTTTAAAAAGTTTTTAGAAGTGGAGTCCCTTGTTTATTGCTGACATTGCCGGCATAGTTGCTTCAACACTTTTTGAAAATTTTACAGAACTAAACACAAAAAACAACATAGGATTAAGCTTTTTTTAAAAAAAAGAACTAGTGCTGGTGACGTGTCTGGAAATGGTGGTGAACCCCCTACCAAACAAAAATGTCATATTGGAATGTGGCCCCCCCCCCCCCCTTACCAAACAATGATGTCATAATGGAGAGTGACCATTCCATTGAAAAAAAAATGTGTTTGGTAATTGTTCTTTTTGATATTCGTCCTTCCCTCGGGAATGGAATAATGACGAATATGGAGGGCCCACCATATTTGCACATGTTTATTATGTTCTTAGCAAATGAGGAAAAAGCAAAAGAGCAGCGTTGCCATGCAGGTATTGAGCCATGCTCATCAGTGTAAATCTCCCACTGTATACACGTAATATTATTTGATATCTGATGAATTTCTTTTAGGGTGCATCATGTTATATTAAAATCATTGTGGCTAGTATCAACTATTTATTAATAATAACACTGCTTGCGATGTTACAAAAGACTTGCGTTAATATTAAGTAGGTAGCCATCTGGCAACCACCCCCCCCCCCATTAAAATCATTGTGGCTAGTATCAACTATTTATTAATAATAACACTGCTTGCGATGTTACAAAAGACTTGCGTTAATATTAAGTAGGTAGCCATCTGGCAACCCCCCTCCCCCCCCACACATCATTCTATGCCTAGCTTAACTATTAAGCATGTAGGTAATCTTAAACCAAAAGTGTCAGTGTGTTACCGAAAAGAAGGGGGAAAAGACACATGATGGTCAACTTAATTCAACTAATTAGCACGTAGATAATCTGATAGCAAAGTTTCAGCGTTTTACCCAATAGAGGGAAAAAAAACATTAGCATGCAGGCTAAATGACTGGTCTCTGTGTCATTTACAGCACATGCTAAAATAAATAAATATATATGTCAATGTGCTTACGACACATGTTAAGATAAATATATATGTAGTTACGACACATTTTAAAATAAATAAATTTATATGTGCTTTTGACATTTTAAATAAATAAATATGTGATTATGACACGTTATAATTAATAAATATATAACACATGTTAAAATAAATAAATATTTGTGTGCTTTTTGTTATTTTGGACTTAAGTCTTTCCAGCCAAAATGATGCATTTTTGTTACTGTAATTACTGTACAACTTTTATAGCAGATTAAGCACTCACCGAGGATTCCACGAGCACTTTCAAGTCTTTGTAATCCTGGCTGGTCTTCTCCGTGATATTTAGGTTAGACACATCCTTGTCAATCTTCACATTCAGTGTGTAATCCTTCGTCTCTGTGGTAGGATGAGTGCAAACAGAGAGCATGACATTGTCATTCAATGACTGGCGTCATCAAATATATTAATTTATAAATATATATAGAAACATTCTTCTTTATATAATTATGATTTAATTAAATCTTCACACAAAGAAAGCTTCTGTTTACCGCCACTTGATGAGAACAATTAAGTTTGATATTAATGTGGTGTTGTTGGTTTTTTTTTTTTAATGATTTATAATGCAATAAATGTTTAAGGACCAATCTAACTGAGGATTACATATATTTTTTTATCAACATGTATTTTATGTACCTGTGTTTTATGTACCTGTGTTTTTTGTACCTGTGTTTTATGTACCTGTATTTTATGTACCTGTGTTTTATGTACCTGTGTTTTATGTACCTGTATTTTATGTACCTGTGTTTTTTGTACCTGCATTTTGTGTACCTGTGTTTTATGTTAGTGCATTTCAATTAAATGTATTTAAATTTTTTAAAAAACTGAAAGAGAACTTGGATTTAAACAAAATTCAACTTTACAACAAAAAAACTGAAACTGTTCAAAGTTAATGAGAGCTCAAAGGTGTTCACTGAGAAACTTACTGTAAAAAAATTTTTCCAGTCGAAAGCTTTGATTTGGTGACCAGTGTTACATGTACAAATGACCATTCAAGCAAGTAAAGACCCATTCGAACAAGCTAAGACACATTCGAGAAAGCAAAGACACATTCGAGCAAGCAAAGCCACATTCGAACAAGCAAAGACCCATTCGAACAAGCAAAGACCCATTCGAACAAGCAAAGACACATTCGAGAAAGCAAAGACACATTCGAGAAAGCAAAGACACATTCAAACAAGAAAAGACCCATTCGAGCAAGCAAAGACACATTCGAGATATCAATCACCCAATCGAACAAGCAAAGACACATCCGAGCAATCACAGACCAATGTTCCCTCTAAGGTTTGCTGGTTTGTGTGCAAATTCATACAGTTTTGTGAAAGTTTTACAACATCATTTTTTTGTGTGCAAAATTTTACAGCCCGTAAATACAAACACACACTTACATGGAAATTTGCTGCACGGATACTCAAAATTGCTGCGCGGTGTTTGTGAGATAGCTGCGCGGCCGCGCAGCTTGAAGGGAACATTGGCAAAGACCCATTCGAATAAGCAAGGACACATTCGAACAAGCTAAGACACTTTCAGTCAAGCAAAGAGACATTCGAACAAGCAAAGACACATTCGTACAGGTAGCCTACATTTAAAGAGCAATACGAGAGTCTCAGTTTATCAGCCGTAAACTATAATTGACTACTGTCCCATTTTAAAATTTACAAAAAAAATTACTTGTGCTGGTGAGTGTAGCTGTCGTGCTGCTGAATGATGCTGTTGTAGAGTTGGAGGCAGCGGTGGTGCTATTGCTGGATTCAGTTGTGCTGTTGCTGGCCACCGTTGTGCTGTTGCTGGCCACCGTTGTGCTGTTGCTGGCCACCGTTGTGCTGTTGCTGGCCACCGTCGTGCTGTTGCTGGCCACCGTTGTGCTGTTGCTGGCCACCGTTGTGCTGTTGCTGGCCACCGTTGTGCTGTTGCTGGCCTCCGTTGTGCTGTTGCTGGCCACCGTTGTGCTGTTGCTGGCCACCGTTGTGCTGTTGCTGGATTCAGTCGTGTTGTTGCTGGCTACCGTTGTGCTGCTGATAGCTGCAGTTGTTTCTGGTGTAAAAGTTGTGCTGTTGCTGGCAGCGGTTGTGCTGTTGCTGGCCGCTGTTGTGCTGTTGCTGGCTGCCGTTGTGCTGTTGCTGGCCACCGTTGTGCTGTTGCTGGCCACCGTTGTGCTGTTGCTGGATTCAGTCGTGTTGTTGCTGGCTACCGTTGTGCTGCTGATAGCTGCAGTTGTTTCTGGTGTAAAACAAAACATTTTTTTCCTTAAAATCATGCAGACCCGTTGATTCTGCAGTGAGGTGAAAATATGTCTGCCTTCTGAGAGTATCATAATTAAAATAATTGAGATGAAATTTTAACACTGCGTTTGAGGATGAAATGAAATAACGTCTTAAAAAAGAAAGAATAGGGCTAATAATAATTTATTTATATTTTTTTGGGGGGGTGGGGGGGGGCACATATTGTTTTTAAAATATATTTATTATTTTAGTTTGCCCTTTAATTTAATTTTTCTATTAAATGGCTTCACGATAAGGTCACACTAAGGCTTGTCATTTAATGGCGGAAATCTATTAATAGAACTGCCTCAAACATCCGGGCATTGCGCTTGGACGGATTCAACACAGTTCAGTACTACTACGTTAGCGAAGTGGTCCTCAGCATGGACCAGAACTTGTTGACGCATATATTTTACGAAATATAATATTTAAACAATTGTTACGCCTATATTAAAAGATTTGTTAAATTCAGAGAAAGCGGCCCGAGTCTATTTCCATGGCCGCAATCTTGGTTGCCTTGACCCGCGCACTTTTACTGTGCGCTGTGCTCTAAAAATAGAGCATTGAAAACCACCTCCAGCCGGAGGACCGTTTGCATTTCATACTTCAATACGACATATATTACTTAATGGCACGTGTATATAGAAGGGAATCAAGTTGACATTACCGTTGCTAGGGAAGCTAGATGTGGTCCCTGATGTTGTTGTCGTTGAAGCAGTTGTATCTCCTGCTGCAGCTGTTGTTGCCGTCGTTGAAGCAGCTGTGTCCCCTGCTGCTGTTGTTAATGCTGCTGTTGTTGTCTGTGAAGTTGTGTCTCCTCCTGACAAGGTCGTTTCTGTTCCTTCAAGAAAATATAGAAAAGAAGACATTCATGACCCCAGGAAAATGTGTTGGTGTGATTCTAAACATTACCTGCTTGATGACATTTCAAAACATTTCGCTTTATTCTACTTAATGGCACGTGTATATAGAAGGGCATCAAGTTGACATTACCGTTGATAGGGAAGCTAGATGTGGTCCCTGATGTTGTTGTCGTCGTCGCCGAAGCAGATGTGCCCCCTGCTGCTGCTGTTGTTGTTGTCGTCGTTGAAGCAGCTGTGTCACCTGCTGCTGTTGCTGTCGTCGTCGAAGCAGCTGTGTCCCCTGCTGCTGCTGTTGTCGTCGTCGTTGAAGCAGATGTGGTCCCTGCTGCTTCTGTTGTTGTCGTCGTTGAAGCAGATGTGGTCCCTGCTGCTGCTGTTGTTGTCTGTGAAGTTGTGTCTCCTCCTGATAAGGTCGTTTCTGTTGCTTCAAGAAAATATAGAAAAGAACACATTCATGAACCCAGGAAAATGTGTTAGTGTGATTGTAAACATTACCCCCGTGATGACACGTCTAAAGATTTAGCTTTATTCAATAGAGTCACTAGGGGGTCACAGGCGGGGGGTGGTATATGGGACGGGGGGGGGGGGGGATACACCCAAAGGAAAATTTAAAATTTGGCAGAGCATTTAATTGGAGAGCAGGGTGTCATCAGACATTAGGGTTTCACCAGTGCAGGGTGTCATAAAAAATTGGTGGGTCATCAGACCTGGGTTTCACTAGAGCGGTCTTGGCAATAGAAGCGTGTCACCGGACCGGAACTGGCAGACTCGAAGGAGCTTTATGGAGGTGGGGGGGGGGGCAGTTCGGATTGGGGAAGACAACACGACGGTCCGCAAATGGTGGTCCGCGCCCCAGTACCGGTCCACGCGCCTTTTGTTGTCGGTCTAAAAAACAAATATTTATGGTCAAATAATAAAAAAATAAAATATAATTAATAAATCTGGCACCGGCAATCTGGCACCCTGGGGCACTTTCAAAACTTGTCGCCCCCGCCCACGGTTTTACCAACAACATTTTCGACCAAGGTATCCTTTCTCTGACTGATCTTACAATTTTTTAATTTCAGATGATTGGTATAGTATTAATCGCAATTCGTGATGTACCATTCCCCCCCCCCTCTCTCCGCGCACCTTCGCAGCACTTAATTTTGTATGTTAATAAACAACAACTTTGAACACTTACCAGCGTCTGGGGAAGTTGTTGACGCCTCTGTCACGGTGTCTTGCTCTGCCGTGGTGTTCGCTGCGTCAGTTACTGTCTCATTGGCAGTACCGGCGGTGTCACCCGGAGTCTCAGTGAACGTGTCCGTTGTAGAGGGGCCACCCACGGTTGTGTTGTCCGCACTTGCGTCCTCCGTGGTTGCGTCCTCCGTGGTTGCGTCCTCCGTGGTTGCGTTCTCCGTGGTTGCGTCCTCCGTGGTTGCGTCCTCCGTGGTTGCGTCCTCCGTGGTTGCGTCCTCCGTGGTTGCGTTCTCCGTGGTTGCGTCCTCCGTGGTTGCGTCCAGTGGTCGCGGCCTCCGTGGTTGCGTCCTCCGTGGTTGCGTCCTCCGTGGTTGCGTTCTCCGTGGTTGCGTCCTCCGTGGTTGCGTCCTCCGTGGTTGCGTCGTAGGTGGTTGTGTCTTCCGCGGTTGTGCCTTCCGTGGTTGCGTCCTCCGTGGTTGTGTAGTCCGTCGGGTCTTCTGTGAGCACATTTAAAGTCTTATGTTAAGAATGTTCACAACATTCAGGCCGTGAGACCATTGTCAAACGTGTACCTACTTTTTGCGAGCTTGACCGCAGTCCAGTCGCGGGCAGCATGACTGCGCAACACGCATATAACGATGTGTGAACCGTGTTACTAAGAACAGGGCCGTGCCAAGGGGTGGGAGTGAAGGAGGCAACCGCCCACAGGGGCCATCGTGATTTTTCATGAAAAAATATTCTTTGGCATATATTTATTTCAGGAAGAGGGCGCCTAAATTCACGCTCTGGACCGGGCGCAGCTTCTGGTTGCCAGAGCCCTTCCAACAGAGGTAGAAAGAGTCCATACTATTATAGTGACACTATTGTGAGCACAAATACCGACGTCATCGCGTGCTTCTAACTCGAGATTGTTGTCAGGGAGGTGCAGTTGGCCGAAGTGACACAACCTCATTCTTTTGACAGTGACAGCGATAGGGAAAGGGATGGACCAACGATAAAGTCATGTTGCCGTAAAAGTCATACACTTTTTAAGCACGCAGAAAAGATTAAATATTCTGAAGTTTTCTTGTGGTGGCTACCGGAGACATCACTCTCAGAAACATAATTTAAATCATCACATTAGTCAGGGAAATAGACGCATAATGCAGACATTAGTCGGAGAAATAGACTGATGCTGGAGATATTAGTCGGAGAAATAGACTTATACTGGAGACATTAGTCGGAGAAATAGACTTATACTCGAGATATTAGTCAAGGAAATAGACGCATACTGGAGACATTAGTTGGAGAAATAGACTTATAATGGAGACATTGACGGAGAAATAAGACTTATACTGGAGACATTAGTCGGATAAATAGACTTACAGTGGTGTCGCCAGTTGGAGAAATAGACGTATACTAGTGACATAAGAATGTCAATGGGGATATCAGTCGGAGAAATAGAATGTCACTGGGGATATCAGTCGGAGAAATAGAATGTCATTGGGGATATCAGTCAAAGAAATAGAAAGTCACTGGAGATATCAATCGCAGAAATAGAATGTCACTGGAGATATCAATCGGAGAAATAGAATGTCACTGGGGATATCAGTCGGAGAAATAGAATGTCACTGGGGATATCAGTCGGAGAAATAGAATGTCACTGGGGATATCAGTCGGAGAAATGGCATCAGTGGGAGAAAAAGACTTGTAACCAGAGTCAGATTTATAGTAGCCAAAGTAGCATATGCTACGGGCCCCGCGCTTGAAATGGGCCCCCCCCTCGCTTTTAGGGGCCCCGCGCCAATAAATATCTACATACTTTTGGTGATCAAAACAGATTGATCAACCTCACCTTCATATTAATAAGCATTGAACCTACGCCTCTGCGTGAAATTGATATATAATCAACAAATTTGTTCATGCCAAATGTAGAAAAAATAATATATAGACAATAATTATGTTGTCTGTGTTGCTGATTTTGATAATAATGATAATCACTAGGCAAATTGGAAATGTATTGTTTCAATATATTATGTGTATCGTTTTATTAATGTTCGCTTAAATGTAGAGCATCTTTCTTAACATAATTCAGAGCCATTTTCTTAACATATGCTACAGACCCTTTCTCAACATATGCTACAGACCCTTTCTTAACATGTGCTACAGGCCCCTTAACATGTGCTACAGGCCCTTTCTTAACATATGCTACAACCCCTTTCTTAGCATAATATGCTACAAGCCCTGCCTAATCATGTGCTACAGCCTCTTTCTTAGCATATGCTACAGACAGGCCCTTTATAACAAGTGCTACAGGCACGCACTAACTTACTCCGGCAGCAGTTACCAAATCTAGATGACCCCTAATTAAGTCATTAGTATCACTAAGAGAGTTCTTTATATATATTGATATATATATATATATATATATATATATATAAAGGAAANATATATATATATATATATATATATATATATATATATATATATATATGTATATATATGATGGCTGATTTTACGCTAGAGATGTCTTTAGGTTCCTTTAGAAGATGGCTTGTGTTTAAATTGTAAAATGTTGTCTAGCTTTAAATGTGTATTTGTTTATGTGCTTGAAATGAATATTTACAACGTAATAAAACAAACAAAAAAACATTTCCATTTAATTGGATCAATCAAATAATATTATCTTATCTTTCTTATCTTATCTTTTACTGGCGACTTCAGTGACACAAATCTACAACCTACCTGATATTCAGTTGCTAAAATTACAACGTACCCTATATTCAGTTGCTAAAATTACAACGTACCCTATATTCATTTGCTAAAATTACAACTTACCCGATATTCAGCTGCTAAAATTACAACTTACCCGATATTCAGTTGCTAAAATTACAACTTACCCGATATTCAGTTGCTAAAATTACAACTTACCCGATATTCAGTTGCTAAAATTACAACTTACCCGATATTCAGTTGCTAAAATTACAACTTACCCGATATTCAGCGGCTAAAATTACAACTTACCAGTGCTTTCCGATGTTGTTCTGGATCCTAAAGTGTAGAAAAATGATTGCATTTAATGTATTGAAACATTTGTGAGAGGTAATGCATTGAGGTGTCATTAAATTGCACATGGTATGATAACATTTTTTTGTCCGCTACCGGATTGAAACATGGAGCTATAAGAAGACGGTGAAACAGATAGCAATCGCTTATCTCATAACCAGGGGCGTCATTTCAGGTTTTTTCAGGAGGGGGGGGGGGGGCAAAACCAAAACGTGGTCTGCTTGTTAATGTTTAATTCCTCGAGCCCCCCCCCCCCCCTCATCATCATCCTCATGTCCCTTAGTCCTTGGACTGTTGGGGCGCCACAGATGACAAGTGAACCATCCTCCTCCATTCGTCTCTGTCTTCTGCACTACGCAGTGCATCGCCCAGTGTTAGTCCTGTCCACTCTTTGATGTTATCCTCCCATCTTTTTCTTTGTCTTCCTCTTCCTCTCCCTCCTTTTGTGGTGCCCTGCAATATTTCTTTGTCAAGCCCTTGTTTCCTTGTTACGTGGCCCTACCATTGTAGTTTGCGTTTTTTTCACAGTCAACAGTAGGTCATCGTACTCCCCAATTGCCTGACGAACCATTTTTTTCACTGTATCATTTGAGATACGGTCCCTATAGCAGATGGCAAAAATGTTTCTGAAGCATCTCATTTCCATCTCCATATTTTCCTTTCAAGATCGGCTGTTAATGTCCAGGATTCGCAGGCATACAGGAAAATGGAGAGGACTAATGAGCGCACCAGCCTGATTTTGGTGCTGGGGGCTATATTTTTGTCATTCCATATTTTCTTGAGCTTCTTTAGTGCTGTTGTAGTCTGCGTAATCCTGGACATCAGTTCGGGCTTGGAGCCTTCTTCTAAGACTATTGCTCCAAGGTATTTGAAGCAGCCTACAGTCTCTAATCTTTCCTCCCTGACCTTAATTTCAGTGGTGATGCCCGCGGTATTATTTGTCATCAGTTTTGTCTTTTCGGCACTGATTAGCATGCCGTAGGACGACGAGGTCTTATCGAAACGCTTTACCAGGTCGGCTAGGTCTTCTTCGTTCCCAGCCAGTCCGTCTATGTCGTCAGCAAAGGGTAGGTTGGTGATTGTTCTGCCACCAATGCTGACTGTACCTTCATGCGCTTCCACAGTACAAAACAATTAAAATAAAACCTGCAAATTCGTGGGGGGGGGGGGGGGGCAATATCTCACCCTGCCCTACCCAAATGACGTAACTGCTTATAACACGATATTCTTACTTGGGGTAACTAAACGCATCAGTATGAACTAAGACTAGTGCTGTCCGAATTTAGTATGACCTTAGACCAGTGCTGTCCAACATTATTATGACCAGTGCTGTCCAACATTATTATGACCAGTGCTGTCCAACATCCAACATTAGTATCACCAGTGCTGTCCAATATTAGTATAACCAGTGCTTTCCGACATTGGTATGACCAGTGCTGTCCAACATTATTATGGCCAGTGCTGCCCAACATTATTAGGACCAGTGCTGTCCAACATTAGTATAACCAGTGCCGTCCAACATTGGTATGACCAGTGCTGTCCAGCATTATTAGGACCAGTGCTGTCCAATATTAGTATGCCGGGGACCCTTTCCCAACTCATCTTTTATGTGCCTGGGACCCCCCCTCCCAAAATCTTTTGTTGCACGTGCCACCCCCCTCCTCCCCCAAGGCCTACGTCCGACGCTGTATACCCTACAGGTTTATAGGATAATCAACAGCGGTAAAGATACGACCTACAGACATTGATCTTTCCTACCTGCGACCAGGATCAGTAGAACAACAAGCCCTACACCTCTGGAGCTTAGGGCGCCCCTCATCTTCAAATCAAGGGGGATGATCTTGTCAACTGCTTACCCTTCCCTTGATCTTTGTTGTTGTTTTTTCTGCGATGAAACAATGTTCAACGAAGGGTAACACAACGTGAAAACAAATATTTTAGCATATTATGTAAGTGCTTACTTCCCCTGGGGTTATGAAAGTTACTCCCCCACCCACCTCTACCCCCTGCGATCACGCCCCGACCTGCAACCCATGGGGTCATATCTTTCAATTTTTATCAGACGTGCTTTCCAAAAATGTACGTCAAAAAAGTTGTTAGACATGCTTGCACGACACGATCGTAATCCCCCACCCCTCCCTTCCCCCGCCCCATACAACTGTTCTTTTTTTAAAAATCTT